GTATATTAGTTCTAGCATATGTATAATAACATCATTTGTACTTTTATCAGTCCTGAATCCAAACTGACATGGGTTTAGTATGTTGTGTGAGACGAGGTAGGAATAGATCTGTCTATGAATTAATTTTTCAAAGATTTTAGAGAGCAGAGGTAGGTTAGATATTAGTACAGTAATATTGTAGTGGTAGTTAGCAGTAGTAGTAGTAGCAGTAATTAATAATAGTGGTATAAGTACTGCAACCATGATAGAAGTATTGGCAGTTGTGTTCTGTTGGAGATATGTTACACTTTGAGAGGAAAAAAGGAAGACACAAATATTATGAGTTTGATTAAGAAAAGGGGTAGGTAAACTGATCTATGATAATATTTCAAGGAAATAAAATTAATTAAAATGTTATAAGTACTGATACAACAAAATATATGAGGAACTCTGTAACAAGATGTATATGAAAATGTAATCACTTCATAACAAAAATGAATGCCCTAGCTTTCTCTCCGAAAGTCTCACACAAATGCAATTTCTCTATGATTTCTTAATCCAAAATGACTCATGGAGCCAAATTTAATATCATACTTTTGCATAAACTCAGTCTTCATGCATTTTTTTCCCTGACTTCCTTACCCCTCAGGTATGTCTCAGGTATATAGTGCTAAATGATCTATATGGGTTTTGCACTTTTTTGTGAATATAATGATGATAAGAATTAAAAGCTCAATAGGATGTTATAATATTTGAGTAAAGTAAAAGTTTAACCCCTTGACTGTCGCAACCCCCAATCCTGAGGTATCTCCTGGTGTCGCAAAATTAAAAAAAAAAATATTTTTTTCTTATAAAATGATAGAGAATCTTTTCCCGGTTGTAATGACACCAAAAAAAACGAAATTTGATGGAAAACTGACGGAATTATGCTCTCGCGAAGTTAGTGGCCTCGGCGATATTTACAAAAAGGCGATTTCGCCCACTTTGAGCCCTATTTTCGGCTAATTCCATTGTTCCAGTCGACCAACCTCATAGCTATTTCTTTAGAACTCCATTTTTTTCTATCGACTGAGTACAAGAAACTGCCCATTAACCAATTTCAACTACCCAATAACATGGTCAGAAATTTGCAATTTGGCCAATTTCACGAAAATTAAAAAATATGACAATTTCAAAATAAGACCAGAATGAACAATGCAGACATTCCTGGCTCTAAAATAACATTTTCTTTGTTCATCAGTCATGTCTCCAGGCCCCTCTGATATTACTCTTGCTTTCTATTTTGAATTTTTATTCAAACAAAAAATAGAAGACTTACTATTATGCAGACTACTGCAATACTGTAATAATTGTATAAATAACATCAACCCATTCATGACTGCATATTAGAATGGCTAGTTGGACATTTATTGGACAATGACATCATTTGTTTACTTTTGAACATCAGCAAAAATCAAACATTTCCGGTTTTTTGAGCTCCATTTCCAGGCTCTTTTTATAGTAAAATCAATCAAAATCACCTCTATTTCTATAATATATTTTCCATTCTATCAAATGAGACCAAGAAAACGAGAATACAACCATAAATACTATATGAAAATAGACCACAAAGTCTGCATTTTAATTAAAAAAAACAGTCGGAGTTTTTTTTTCTCATTATGCACTGCGTGCTCCAGGATTTTTTTTTATATGGTGCACACTGACCACACAGACCCATTCTCTCACATGTGGGCCTACCAGCTTTCTCCTGCTTGATTTGAAGCTGCTAGAATTTATGAGTATATACGTATATGTCAAATACGGTACCTCATAAGACGTATATATATATACGGCCGCGACAGTCAAAGGGTTAAAAGAAAAATTGCATGCTTTGGCAATGCTCTCATGTTATTAGCTGTATATGGTTCCTTATTTTTTGGTATTGTAAAAGGTGTTTATTGCAAAATTAAAAAAAAAAGTAATAATAAAATGTTTTGGGTACCTTTGATTAAAAGTTAGTTTATAGTCTCATTATTTCATTCATGAACATGGGGCTACAAATACACAGATTTCAAGAGCCTGGAAGAAAACACTAGTAGGGAAGAATTCTATTTGTCCAATGACATGTAGAAATGATTAAGAATTGGGAAAGATTTCCTCATTGTCATACCTGTATCAGACTTTTGGGTATAGAACTCGTAGAACACAAACTTTTCATTAATTATATGAAGTAAATTTGATGTTGATAGGCACAGGAAATGGTAAGTTATCAATATATAGTTTTTTTTATATGGAACACCTAATAAGTTTTCAGCAAACCTCATAAATAATAATGTGACATCAAAGCTAACCATATTGAATTCATTAATAGTACAAGCTATGGTGTTTAATATTATTCTTCATATAGAAAATAAATTCTTCCTACAATCGAGCTCAGTATATTTATTAGCCATCTTGATAAGTGGTATCCAACAGCCAGTGGAACTAATTATGAGCCTTGTTGGTTGATATTTTATTAAGCCATACATAAAAGGTATAGTTTAGTAATAATAAACTTATAACTTAGCCAAATCTTTATTTGTATTATGAATTAGAATTTTGTATTTAATGAGTCTAGCAATGAAGTTATGTCACTGTTTGCTTGGGAACCTTCAATTATATGTAATTAGGAAGAGATACATTAATGCTATTATTTGATATTATTATTCTTTTTAGTAAGCTATATGAGAAAAGGGGTTACTAGCCCATTGTTCCTGGCATTTTAGCTGACTTTTACAACATGCATGGCTTACGTAGGAAAGATTCTTATTGTACTTCCCCATGGATATGAAAGGTAAAGCAATAAGAACAAGAGCTGTTAAGATAAAATCAAAGAAAACTCAGATGAGTGTGTGTATATATAAATGTGTACATGTAAGTGTAGTGTGACCAAAGTGTCAGTAGAAGTAGCAAGACATACCTGAAATCTTGCATGTTTATGAGACAGAAAAAGATGCCAGCAATCCTACCATCATGTAAAACAAAATACAGGCTTCCTTTTTACACCCACCTGGTAGGACGGTAGTACCTCCCCAAATGGTTGCTGTCCACCAACCTACTACCTATCAGGGAAACCGGTTAACCAGACTTGAGTCCTGGAAATGGGAAGTACAATGTCTGCACTTTAAAGGAGGGGTTTGGGATATTGGCAGTTTGGAGGGACTTCTAAACTGTCGTATCTGAGCGCCTCTGCAAAGACAGTGATTATGTATGAGTGAAGTGAAAATGTTGAATGATGATGAAAGTATTTTCTTTTTGGGGATTTTCTTTCTTTTTGGGTCACCCTGCCTCGGTGGGAGATGATCGACATGTTGGAAAAAAACTTATTGCTTTAGTAAAAGTAGTTTTTGCAAGATATGTCATAAAATATGCCTTATACAGAGGCCTTAAAATTAAGATGCAGTATTATTATATTCATGGGGGAGCACTAAACCTAAATGGGTAAAATAGCACTTGGAAAATGGGAGGTAATTAGGTTTGATCTAAGGAAGGGAAAGGCAGCTCAAATTCTTCAGATGTGTAACTTTCATCAGCATCAAGGCACCCCCTGGAAGGGAAAGATTTAGTACTAGTACTGTACAGTGTAACATGACACGTGAATGTCCAGGATACTGAAAAAAAAAAAGTAAAACAAAATTGACTTACTGAGACTAGTTGAGCAACAGGAAAATGAAACTTACAGTAGTTTTACTGTAATACACTATGTGAAAATTGTTAGCTGTTTAATATTGAATGGTTATTCAAGATTAGAAGTATGAGGTTAAAATCAGTGCAAACTTATAAAAGTAAGTACATTCAATAAATGATAATTATTTGTTAGATGCAGTTATGTAAATTCTTTATATGCAAACTATTTCTGTCTGTGATTTTAATGTAAGTCAACATGTATGAAACCAGACAGTATGATATAAGATTGAATGTTGTACATCAATGTTACATTTATATAGTTTTCATGGTGGTCAGTAAGGTCAAAACTATCATACAAATAATATCAGAACTATTTTAATCCCTAAAATATTTTTGTAGCTTTTAGAAACCGAATTTATATCAAAAATTTACTTTGATAAATTCATTTAGGCTTATTTTCTATATACATTTTTGGACTATTGTAATTATACAGTACTAAGGCATACTTTATGAAGAATTGTGTAAGTTTATTCAGGCACAGGTACACATAAACACAGTTATCATACATGGTATAAATTACTTGGGATAATCCAGAAAAAGTCAGTGACTTACTTCCATTGTGGTCCTTGAATGAACTCAAGGAAAATTAGTATGCATGTGTTTTTAAGATATGTTAGTAATCTTGATTATTGGTGTTCAATGCTCTATGACCCTTATGGGTTTGGCACATAGTTATGATTATAATAATGAAAATTATTTGTACTGTTTTATCTATGTATTTTTATATTATGAGGAATATCAGTTGAAAACTTGATTTTTTATTTAATTGGATTAGTTTTATTTAAGAATGCTTGTGAAATGTAAATTATAAGTGGGCAGCCCTGTATGACCCTTAGGGGTTTAGCACTTAGTTTTGATTGTGATCGTAATAATAATAAAATGTGTGGGCTACATATCATAGTGATCCTAATGAAAATAAATGACATTCACCTTTGTTGGGTTGTTCTTGGTTAAATCATCATCACTTGCACTATCATAATCTACTGATTAGTGCAAGTGCACAACTGTCTGCCACCGTAGCATGCCTATACAGATTCTATATAAATATAATAAGTGAGTTTTATATATAGAACTTGTGTATATTAACGTGAATAAAGATTATTTCTTCCCTGATTCGTATTGTATAAAGAAATAGAAGCTTCTACCAGTCACCGTTAGTAACGCTTAATTTCAGTGTGTTGAACTATAGTTTTGATTTATATATCAACCTTGCCATAATTATAGCCATGCTAAAAACAGGTGTATATTATTTAAGTGTACATGTTGTGTTGAACAATTTAGTGTTTTAACACGGACTATGAGGGTGGGTGCGCGACTCTGGTGTGACGTCATGCGCGGCCAGTCAGTCACCAACACTGGCCGGCGCCGACGGGTTCACCGTACTCTCTCTCTCGCTATTTATACACATTGGAAATGGAGTGAATTTCTTGCGGGGTCTACCCGCTGTGTACAAAAACTTCGTGTGTGCGGTCACACGCAGGATGAGTGCAATCACAGTGCCGGATGCTTCGTGTAAGTCCTGTTATTTTGTGATTCAAATGTGGGACATCTAGCCTTCAAGAGCTTTGTTCATCATGGCGGCTGCGCGCACCCTTGGTAGAGGATGCGCAGCGCCACATACTACAGCCTCACCTTCCAGCCAGGCTTGGCTGCCACTACTATAACACAGTGATAACATGAAACCCATTTAAGTGGACATAACATGATATCGTACAGTAGCACATAGGAAGATAAAAGTTAGGTGTTTAGAGGAGTGTTGATGACACTGGCAGCGGGGTAGCAGAGAGTTACTCTGGACACCGGCTGTTGCTCTCCTCTACCTACACTATTAACTCTCCTCCTCCTCTCATTGAAATATTTAACTGCTACTGCCAGATGATTGATTTCTAAACCTAGTAAACATTCCCCAAGGCAATTTTTATTGGGACACCGAGCTGACTGTGCTATTAACCTTTGTTAACAAGGGATGGGCTGTCATTAGTGGCATGTCTAATGCTGCAGTGGTGTAAACAAATGTAACAGTGGTAGTAGTATGACGAACTGAGGTGACACATACTGACGATGGGGGTGGCAGGCAACACTACCTGCACTGACAGTGGTGGCAGGCAACACTACCTGCACTGACTGGTGGCAGGCAACACTACTTGCACTGATGATGGTGGCAGGCAACACTACCTGCACTGATGATGGTGGCAGGCAACACTACCTGGACTAATGATGGTGGCAGGCAACACAACTTGCACTGATGATGGGGTGGCAGGCAACACAACTTGCACTGATGGGGTGGCAGGCAACACTAGGTGCACTGACGATGGGGGTGGCAGGCAACACTAGGTGCACTGACGATGGGGTTGGCAGGCAACACTAGGTGCACTGACGATGGTGGCAGACAACACTACCTGCACTGACGATGGGGGTGGCAGGCAACACTAGGTGCACTGACGATGGGGGTGGCAGGCAACACTACCTGCACTGACAATGGTGGCAGGCAACACTACTTGCACTGATGATGGGGTGGCAGGCAACACTAGGTGCACTGACGATGGAGCTGGCAGGCAACACTACCTGCACTGACAATAGTGGCAGGCAACACTACCTGCACTGACAATAGTGGCAGGCAACACTACCTGCACTGACAATAGTGGCAGGCAACACAACTTGCACTGATGATGGGGTGGCAGGCAACACGGTGCACTGACGATGGGGGTGGCAGGCAACACTAGGTGCACTGACGATGGGGGTGGCAGGCAACACTAGGTGCACTGACGATGGGGGTGGCAGGCAACACTACCTGCACTGACGATGGAGGTGGCAGGCAACACTACCTGCACTGACAATGGTGGCAGGCAACACTACTTTCACTGATGATGGGGTGGCAGGCAACACTAGGTACACTGACGATGGGGGTAGCAGGCAACACTACCTGCACTGACAATAGTGGCAGGCAACACAACTTGCATTGATGATGGGGTGGCAGGCAACACTAGGTGCACTGACGATGAGGGTGGCAGGCAACACTACCTGCACTGACGATGGGGGTGGCAGGCAACACTACCTGCACTGACGATGGAGGTGGCAGGCAACACTACCTGCACTGACTGGTGGCAGGCAACACTACTTGCACTGATGATGGGGTGGCAGGCAACACTAGGTGCACTGACGGTGGGGGTGGCAGGCAACACTACCTGCACTGACGATGGAGGTGACAGGCAACACTACCTGCACTGACAATGGTGGCAGGCAACACTACTTGCACTGATGATGGGGTGGCAGGCAACACTACCTGCACTGACAATGGTGGCAGGCAACACAACTTGCACTGATGATGGGGTGGCAGGCAACACTAGGTGCACTGACGATGGGGGTGGCAGGCAACACTAGGTGCACTGACGATTGGGGTGGCAGGCAACACTAGGTGCACTGACGATGGGGGTGGCAGGCAACACTACCTGCACTGACAATAGTGGCAGGCAACACAACTTGCGCTGATGATGGGGTGGCAGGCAACACTAGGTGCACTGACGATGGGGGTGGCAGGCAACACTAGGTGCACTGACGATGGGGGTGGCAGGCAACACTAGGTGCACTGACGATGGGGGTGGCAGGCAACACTAGGTGCACTGACGATGGGGGTGGCAGGCAATACTACCTGCACTGACGATGGGGGTGGCAGGCAACACTACCTGCACTGACGATGGGGGTGGCAGGCAACACTACCTGCACTGACGATGGGGGTGGCAGGCAACACTACCTGCACTGACGATGGGGGTGGCAGGCTACACTACCTGCACTGACGATGGGAGTGGCAGGCAACACTACCTGCACTGACGATGGGGGTGGCAGGCAACACTACCTGCACCGACGATGGGGGTGGCAGGCAACACTACCTGCACCGACGATGGGGGTGGCAGGCAACACTACCTGCACCGACGATGGGGGTGGCAGGTAGTGCACAGGCCCTGATAACATCCCGTCTAAGTTCCTAAAAGATGGTGCTTCTGAACTGTCAATCCCTATTGCTCACATAATAAATCTATCAATCACCACTAATACCGTACCGGAGGGGTTCAAGGAGGCCAGAGTTACTCCTATCTTCAAGAAAAATAGTAGGTCTGATGTAAGCAACTATAGGCCTGTTAGTATACTCAGTATAATATCTAAAATTCTAGAGAGGGCGGTGTATTCTCAAGTAGTTAAGTACCTTAATGACAACAACATTCTCCATAGCCCTTATACAATGCCATATGGATTACGCTTGCTCTTCTTGGTACTCTGCCTTGACAAAAAAACTGAAAGATAGACTGCAAATCACCCAGAACAAAATCGTAAGATTCATCCTGGACCTGGGACCAAGAGAACATGTAGGCCAGGATGAATTACAGCAGTTGGATATGCTGAATGTTGAAGACAGAGTAAAACAACTGAAGCTAAATCATGTTTATAAAATTGCTCTCAAACAATGTCCAGAATATCTTGCTGTCAATTTTGTCAAGGTTGGGAACCAAAACAATCATAGTACTAGGGGGAGAGAACAACTTTGTAGTACCCACAGTCAGTGGCCAGGCTTCAAACACCTTTTATTGTACAGCAATAAAGGAATGGAACAGACTACCCGCACATGTCAAAGCCAGTCATAGCATGAACCAGTTCAAGAAGAGTGCCAAAAGGTGTCTGATGAATGTAGCTATAGAAAGGGAGGGGAATGATTTTCTATTTTTTAGCTAACATACGTGTAAATTTTACCTTATTCCTAGTAATGACCCTCGTATTGTAGATAGTCTTAATGACCTTGGTGTAGTAGATAGTCTTCTTAGTATGATAATAAGATGTTATCTTCATTGTAGAATAATAAGAAAATATTATAACCTTTATATTATAATAATGAGGTAAAAGGACCCCAATGGAAATAAGTCACTCTGTCTGACTTTTTTGGGTTATCCTAGGTTCTCTACACATATGCTGCTATGTATGATAATTCTATGTAACTGTATTTGTGTATACCTGAATAAACTTACTTACTTACTTAACACTACCTGCACTGACCATGGGGTGGCAGGCAGCACTAGGTGCACTGACGATGGGGTGGGAGGCAACACGTAGTTGCACTGACGATGGGGGTGGGAGGCAACACTACCTGCACTGACGATGGGAGTGGCAGGCAACACTAGGTGCACTGACGATGAGGGCGGCAGGCAACACTAGGTGCACTGACGATGGGGGTGGCAGGCAACACTACTTGCACTGACGATGTGGGTGGCAGGCAACACTACGTGCACTGACGATGAGTGGCAGGCAACACTACCTGCACTGACAATGTAAGTGGCAGGCAACACTACCGGCACTGACGATGGGTGGCAGGCAACACTAGGTACACTGACGATGTGTGTGGCAGGCAACACTAGGTACACTGACGATATGTGTGGCAGACAACACTACCTGCACTGACGATAGGAGTGGCAGGCAACACTACCCGCACTGACGATGGGAGTGGCAGGCAACACTACTTGCACTGACGATGAGGGTGGCAGGCAACACTACCTGCACTGACGATGGGGGTGGCAGGCAACACTACTTGCACTGACGATGTGGGTGGCAGGCAACACTACCTGCACTGACGATGGGGTTGGCAGGCAACACTACCTGCACTGACGATGGCGTTGGCAGGCAACACTACGTGCACTGACGATGAGGGTGGCAGACAACACTACCTGCACTGACGATCGGGTGGCAGGCAACACTAGGTGCACTAAGGATAAGGGTGGCAGGCAACACTAGGTGCACTAAGGATAAGGGTGGCAGGCAACACTACCTGCACTGACGATGGGGGTGGCAGGCAACACTAGGCGCACTGACGATGGGGTGGCAGGCAACACAGCCTGCACTGACATTGGGGGTAGCAGGCAACACTACCTGCACTGACGATGGGGGTGGCAGGCAACACTACCTGCAATGACGATGGGAGTAGCAGGCAACATTAGGTGTACTGATAATGGGAGTCGCAGGCAACACTACCTGCACTGACCATAGGAGTCGCAGGCAACACTACCTACACTGGCAATGTGAGTTACAGGCAACACTACCTGCAGTGACGATGGGAGGCGCAGGCAATACTACCTGCACTGACGATGGGAGTGGCAGGAACACTACCTGCACTGACGATAGGGGGTAGGCAACACTACCTGCACTGACGACGGGGGTGGCAGGCAACACTACCTGCACTGACGACGGGGGTGGCAGGCAACACTACCTTCATTGACGATGGGGGTGACAGGCAACACTAGGTGCACTGACGATGGGGTGGCGGGCAACACTACGTGAACTGACGATGGGGAGTGGCACACAACACTAGGTGCACTGACGATGGGGTGGCAGGCAACACTAGGTGCACTGTCGCTGGAGTGGCAGGCAACAATGTGAACCGACAATGGGGTGACAGGCAACACTAGGTGCACTGACGATGGGGGTGGCAGGCAACACTAGGTGCACTGGCGGGGATGCCAGACAACACTAGG